TGTACTTCGCTCTCATCTTGACTTATCTACACTAGTCAATTCTAAGGCTTGGTTCTAGGAGTTCTGAAGTGATGGGAAGTGGGGCCAGGTGTTAGGAGAACCAAGAAAGTGGTTTATTTGGTTTCATTCTGCCTCTGAACAACAAGTAAGCAAAAGGCACTCGTGATAGAAGGAGGCTGTTAGCCACTAGGGAAGAGGATCCTGCTCAAGGACAAAGGCTGAACCAAGAGGCCTCTGAACCCGAGATGTGGATCAGGTGAAGACCATGTACCACAACCACATTGAAATTAGTGGGTTCCCTAAGGAAGCAGAGGGCGTGAGGAGGGCCTGCAACCCCTGAGCTAACCGTGCTAGGAGTATCTGACCATCACCATTGTGCCCACCTCTAGCATGAGTCTCAAGTTGCTTGTTTTTCTTAAGGTTTGTTGGAAGTGGTAGTATAGTGAACCTCGCTAGTGAACACTGTTATCATAAATTCCTAACTTAGGATTCCAGAAGCACAAGATTGGGAGGAACTATAAATACCATCCAGCCCACACCCTCATCCAGTAATCCAGTTTCCCTCCCAGCACTCTTCCAAGAGGTCAGTTCCTATGTTGGAATGACTCTACCAGCTGGACATATCTTAAGTCATCCCATATCTGAGCTTGGCATTTGTTTCCTAAAAACACTTCTGGATCCTGGTTTCCATCTGAATATTTTTGGTTGGTCTGGTCCATGCTGAGAGCTGGACACAGTATCGTAGTGTAGTGTGGACATGGGATGGGGGGCAGACCATCACCCAGGTGCCCAGCAGGGGCCCAGCTCATAGTGGCTGGTTGTTTGTATTGTATTTGTTAAATGAATGAATCCCAGAAACCATGTTTTTATCAATTCTCTTGGTGGTCACACCATCATTCCTGTTGAGCTTGTCCACAGGAACACTCAAAAATTTAATGGCTGCTCACTGCAGGCCAGATGCCTTCCATTCACTGGCTCGGGTGACACACCTATGGCCCTGCATCCTCACACCTAGCACAGAGCCTGCTCACTGTAAGCACTCAGTATTTGCTGAGTGAATAAACCCTGAATTGAGGCAGGGAAAACTGAAAGCCTATAGGGAGCATGCTTGGGGTGGTGGGGGTTTAACCTAGTGGGTCTCCTGAGCCACTGCCCCATCTCTTTCTGACATCATCTCCCACTCAGTGCTTCTCTTCAGAACTCCTTCACGCTTAAGCTGAACCCCACTCCACATAGCTTCCTCTTCACCTTGGAGTGAAAGCTAGGGCAGGGGTGTTGTTGAAGTTCTAAAGCAGCATATGACACAAAACAAGGAGCAAGGAAGGCTGCAGTCTCTTTTGTCCCTCAGTGGCCTTGTAAAGGACATCTTTGCCCACCCCAGCTTGAGAGCAGATCATCTTTGTCTCCTTAGGCCCAGTACTTTAGAGCACATAGGTCTCATCCCAACTTTAACCAAAGCGGCATGACTTCATGACTTACCTATTTTGTATACTGGAGCTCTGCATAGAGTTTCATTTAAAAAGAAGATTCTGATGCTATCAAAAAATAACTTGGAGACTACTGTGTTGTATATAAAGGTGGATTTTGTTTTTGCTTTTTTTTTTTTGTAGATAGTTTCAGGGGCCTTATAGGAGATTAGTTAGGGGCCACTTGCAGCCCAATAATGAGACCAGGTAACAGCCAGGTTAAATTTCAGTTTCCCACAAAGTTCCACATTCCCTGGCAATAAAAGAGCATCCAGCTTCTTATCTGCTATGCAGGATTTGCTCTAAAAGGAGTTCCCCCCACATAGTGAGACCTCGCTTCCTAAGGACATAATGAAGGATATTCTTGACCTTCTATGCTCTGTGTCAAGACACTGCGGAGGTATGAAAGGGTACACATAGCCGGACCCTCATGCTCCAGGCTATGTGGGTTGAGCAAACAGCAGTTGCCTTGGGGCCAGGTTTCTTGGTGATGGCCATCCCTCTGCCCCTGACCCATGCAAAACCCACAATGAGCACCTTCTCACACTGGCAGCAGAGGAGACTGATGTTTTCCAACTAGTGGAGAAAATGCTCTTCCTTGCCTTACAAGTGGTCTCATAAGGTCCAATCATAGCCAAGTGTGTGTTTGTTACTTATGGAGCCCTTGGCCAGTCCTTTGATGGGCACAGAATATTTCTCTCATACCCAGGTTATGACTCCCTTCCTGTTTAGGAACAAAGGCAGGAAAGAGCCTGGGGGTATATGAAGGCCAGGCATCCCAGGTCCAGGGGGTCATCTCCCATGTACTGGGTGATGCTGTACCAGATGAGGGCCTGTTGTCTAAGCCACAGCAGCTCTGCAGTGGAAGTTAGCACCTGCTTGTTCATAGCAAATAGGAGGTGGTTGCGCCAGCATTTCAACTCAGGGCTGGCTGACTCAAGCCTCTTCGTACTGTCCTGCTCTCATTTCCTGTTACTAGTGAAAGGTGAGGGTGGACTATGGAATTGGGGTTGGGGGTGTCATGTCTCTCTGGGATCCTGTCTTTTAGGTTCCAGTGTGTGTTCCAGGTGCTGCCACAGTGCCTCAGCCCAGAGACGCCCCTGCCTAGTGTGCTGCTGACTGTTGAGCTCCTCTCCCTCCTGGCAGACCACGACAAGCTTGCTCTTCAGCTCTGTTCCCACTCAGGTAAAGCAGGGCGGGTGGGCAGCTGGGCTGCTCCTGAAGACTGGAGGAAAGGGTTGTGACAGGGATGGGGCCTGGGGCCTCCTGAGGGCTTCTGCAGCTAGTAGCCCAGGCCCTGGGTGAGAAGGGGCACCGAGTGAGAAGTAGGTCATCCTTTTCAGAAGGCTGCCTCCTGCTCCTGCTGTACATGTACATCACATCAAGGCCTGACAAAGTGGCCTCGGAGACACAGTGGCTTCAGTTGGAACAAGAGGTAAAAACTCTAGAGAACCCTCTCGAGACTGCCACCCTGCCCAGCCTAAGAACCCACAGAATCTTTCTCTGGGGAGAAAGGGGGCTTTAATTCATTTTAGTGGCAAGAGTTTATCAAGCTAAAGAGGTAAGCTCAGTTGGGGGCTCCACGCTACAGATGCAATATAGGTGGACCTAGGTTGTCATAGGACTTGGCAAAGTTGCCTGATAACTGATCCTATCCTGGCTTTGGGGCCTGGTGGCTGGAGGTGGGCGTGGAAGCATGTGGGTTGTTGATGAGACACAGGTGCTGGTGCTGAGTCTGGCCTAGGAAGGCCCCACAACACCACTTCCTGGCCCCATTTGAGCAGACAAGCAGTTGCTAAAGCAACTGGAGCTCCTGTAGGAGAGGCCTGAGAAAGGCCTTGCTATGACTGGGGTCTCGTTCTGCCCAGGATGGAACAGAATCTGTTCTTATTCTAGGCTGTGTGGCTCCTGGCTAAGCTTGGTGTGCAGAGCCCGTCCCCCCCAGTCACTGGCTCCGACTGCCAGTGCAACGTGGAGGTGAGTAGGCCAGGGGCAGGCAGGGGCCAATAGCATGGCAGCTCTGTTGGGTAGGGTGGCCCTGTGCAAGGACCCCATGCCTTACTCAACCCTCCTCACCTGGGCTGAGCAGGTTGTTAGGGTGCAGGACATGGCAAGACCGGACCTCAGTCTGTGCCCTCTGTCCCCCCCAGGTGGTCAGAGCTCTCACAGTGATGCTGCACAGACAGTGGCTGACAGTGCGGAGGGCAGGGGGGCCCCCAAAGACTGACCAGCAGAAGCGGACAGTGCGGTGTCTGCGGGACACGGTGCTGCTGCTGCACAGCCTGTCCCAGAAGGACAAGCTCTTTTCCATGCACTGTGTGGAGGTCCTGCATCAGTATGACCAGGTGATGCCAGGGGTCAGCATGCTGATTCGCGGGCTTCCTGATGTGACAGACTGTGAAGGTGAGCCGGCAAGAGAGCCCCCCCTGCCCAACCTGCGTGTGGGCTCTCCCTGAAGTTCGGGAACAAGTCAGACTCCCTGGCATTACCTCAGCAGCCCTCTGTCCACCACAGCCATTTCTGGCACTGAGGACACTTTCATTGTCTTCCTGCCCTGGTTCCTCTCTGAGCATATTGGGCTGCCTTTTGCCTGTATCCGTTGAGTCGGCCTGGCAGAGCCACGGTTTTTCCAGAAATATCCGTGTCTGAATTGCCTTTGTGTCACTTTGCTTGCAGTAGCTGAGGGAGCAAGGCCTGGGCATGGAAGGGACTGGTTAGTTCCTGCGGGCGTAGGGGGAGGAGAGGTGGAGCCTCCCCCTGTCTCCAGCACCTTCGGGCCTTCACCATAGGACCCTCTTCCTTTTGGCTCAGAGGCGGCCCTGGATGACCTCTGTGCTGCAGAGACTGATGTGGACGACCTTGAGATGGACTGTGGCTGAGGCCGGCAAGCATTTGGCCACATGGTGGCACCAGCACCCCTGCTTTCCTCACTCATCAACTGATTAAAAGCAATAACTGGCAGTTCCTGCTGAGACCACGCCAGCCTTGTTTGTTTCCTGAGTCTGATCCGTTTGGCTGAGTGGGAGGGGACCCAGGGAGGCTTGGATCCTTCTTCCTGTCCCTGGCTGCAGCTGAGACTCAGTCCCCATGGTAACCCGCCTTGAGGAAAGAGCCCTGCTCTGCCTGTGGAATTGTCCTGAGTCATGGCTTTGGGCTGGGGCCATGGGAAGAAACCATTGTGTGGCAGGGAAGGAGGCGGCCCTTGGCCCAGGCCTAGGAATCAGGAAGGCCTAGGAAAGTGGGGCCAACAGGTGGGCACCAAAGGACCAAGGCAGGGGCTCCCAGCGTGCTTGAGACCTGGAGCTAGCCTGGCACCACAGCCTAGTTCGCCCAGCTGGCTCTCGCTGCTGTGAGGACCCTGAGCCAGCAGGCCCACAGCTGTGGATCTGAAACGGCCTCTGGGAGGGTCCAAGATTCACGAGAGGGGCAGACAAGGCGGGCTGGCAGGGCGGGTCTGGCTCACGCAGCTGTGGGCGGGTCTGGGCAGCTGTGGGCGGGTCCGGGCAGCTGTGGGCGGGTCCGGGCTGAGTTTCGCTTCCCGCCACTGCTGGCAGCATCTAGAAGCAGAGGGAGAGGGTGCGCCGAGTCATTGCTGCCGCGGTAAGTGTGGAACCCCAAAGGGATGGGGCAGGAACGCCATGGGTTTCCCACACCCCAGACTAGGTGGGCACCAGGAGAGGGGCCCCTCCCTCAAAGAGTAGAGTGTGCTTGTCCCACTGAGGAAAGCACTCCACTCTCTCCAACTTCCTGCGCTGAAAATGGGCCCTGGAGCTCAGGGACAGTGCCAGATAGCGCATGGAAGGCCTGAGATGTGCTTCTGCCCATCCCCTTGCCCCCACCCCATCCACTTTAGATCTTTCCACTGGGCACTCACACCCACCCCCAACCCATGCTCCTCCCCAGGCTCAGCGACAGGTACCTACCCCACTATGGGCTCGCAGGCCCCACCCCCAGAGCCCATGCAGACCCTCATCTTCTTGGACCTGGAGGCCACTGGCCTGCCCTTCTCCCAGCCCAAGGTCACGGAACTGTGCCTGCTGGCCGTCCACAGATGTGCCCTGGAGAGCCCCCCCACTTCTCAGGGGCCACCGTCCACAGTGCCCCCACCACCCCGTGTGGTGGACAAGCTCTCCCTGTGTGTGGCTCCGGGGAAGGCCTGTAGCCCTGCAGCCAGTGGGATCACAGGGCTGAGCACAGCTGTGCTGACGGCACATGGGCGTCAACGCTTCGATGACAACTTGGTCAACCTGCTCCTAGCCTTCCTGCAGCGCCAGCCACAGCCCTGGTGCCTTGTGGCACACAACGGTGACCGCTACGACTTCCCCCTGCTTCAAGGGGAGCTGGCTATGCTGGGGCTTGCCAATGCTCTGGATGGTGCCTTCTGCGTAGATAGCATCGCTGCCCTGAAGGCCCTGGAACAAGCTAGTAGCCCCTCGGAGCATGGCCCAAGGAAGAGCTACAGCCTAGGCAGCATCTACACACGCCTGTACGGGCAGGCCCCACCAGACTCACACACAGCCGAAGGTGACGTCTTAGCCCTGCTCAGCATCTGTCAGTGGAGGTCACAGGCCCTGCTGCGGTGGGTGGATGCTCACGCCAGGCCCTTCAGCACCATCAAGCCCATGTACGGGGTCACAGCCTGTGCCAGGACCAACCCAAGGTCATCTGCTGTCACAGCCACTGCACCCCTGGCCACAGACAGGAACAAAAGTCTCAGCCTTGGTGGGAGCAGGAGACCTAAGGCTCTTTCTCTAATGAAAGGCTCTGGAGCCCCACCCAAGGAGGGCCTTCTGGCCCCACTGGGTCTGCTGGCTTTCCTGACCTTGGCGATAGCCACGCTGTATGGACTGTCCCTGGCCACACCTGGGCAGTAGGCCAAGAATGACAATCTAATAAAGAGTCCCCTAGCACTGAGTGGTCACTCGCCTCCTTTCTTCCTTAGCAGCCTGGGCCTCTGTCTACGCTCAGGACCTGAGAAGGGGGCAGAGGTGGGCACAGTCTTCTTTGTCCCTCACTCTCCCTAGCAGGATGGTCAAACATCTGAGCCCAGTAAAGGTAGGGAAAACACAGAAACCCAAATGGTGGACAGGCACTCAGCCTAATGCCTAATCCCAGCAGCCAAGGCTATGAAGAAAGGGGCAGAAGCTCTAAATATCGGCATTTATTATAAACAGGGGTGCAGACCCTAGACTGAGAAACACACTGACAGATACAAAGCTAAGACAGACCCAGAGAGACATCAACAGAGGGACAGGAACACCGAGGTATTCATGTCTGGGCCAGAGCTGCCACCCAGCACCCCCTCCTTTGATCCAGATGGCCCCGTGGCCCAGGTGTCCCTGCTGTCAGGACAAACTGGACTGGGGTAGAGGAATTGGATATTCTGTGAGGCTGGTATTGGGGAAGCAGGGACTATCAGAGTTGTCAAGTTGTTGCTCTTTGTGGGCCCATTTCCCTCTAGGACTCAGGGGTTTCAGTTTCACATAACTATCATGAACATTTTAAAACAGGAAACAGGCAAAACGTTTGGCTAAAAGTAAAACAAAAACACTGCAGGGAAGAGACCTGAGTGTGTTGGTGGACAGAGGACGCCCTGCCCACTTGTGGCAGGGGCCAGGGCCAGCAAGGGCAGGAAAGCGTCCCCGTGGGCAGCCAGGCCGAGAGTGGATGTGGCCCTCCAGGTGGTCCCAGGGAGGATGCAGGGGCAGTCCAGGCAGGGAGCCATCAGGGGTGCGTGGCGCTCTGCCTGAGGCGTTTTGGCATCAGGAGGCTGCCCAACTCCCACTGGGTATGGCACAGGCTCCAGGGAGCAGTGGGACATCTGCCCAAAGGACAGAAACCCAGCTTGGCCAGATCCCAAGCTTGCCCACTTGCCTACCTCATGGCCCTGGCTCTACAAAGGGAACCCCAAACCCTGGGGACAAGCCACGGCCTCAAACATTGGCCGGCCACTATGACGAAACTAGCACACGTCTGCATCATGCCCACAGAAGGCTGTACTATCCTAGTGTGACAGGCCACACCTGGTCGCCATAGGGTGAGCTGGAAAAGAAGTCCCACCCCATTCTTTGAATTTTGCTTGAGATTTTAAGAAGCATAATTTCAAGGGAGGAAGAGAACAAAGTTTGGCCCCAGCCCACTCTGGCAAGGATTGTTTCCCACCTCGTCGGCATCAGAAGAAGCCACGTGTACAGACAGCACACACACACCACGTATGAGGCAGGAAGGAACTGTGCCTGCAGACCACTCACACACACATGACATAATCAAGTGGCAGCCAGAGAGGCAAGGGCATGCTCAGGGGGCCGCCTTCGGGGGCTCCATGTAGGCCGGGTTGTACGGAGGCTGGCTGGCAGGGTAGGGCACGGCTGCACCTCCTAAAAACAGAGAGAATACCGGTTGGCCACAGGCGTGGTGAGCTCCCGTGTGTATGGCAGGCAAGCAGAAGCGGGCAGAGGCCTATTCAGCCACGTACTCCGGGATGGATGCCTGAGGGGGTACAGGTGGGGGCTTGGGAGGCCAGGAAGGGTCACAGTGTCAGCAGCGGCACTCACCAGCCAAGGTCTCGTGGTAAGCCGGTGGGCCCATGGGCTGGGCTGGGTAGGGTGGTGGGTACTGCGTCGGGTAGGGTGCTGCTGGCATCCCTGGCTGGGGGGGCATGGGGTGGTAGCCCTGGTACGTCGGTCCAGGGTAGCTGGGTGGCACACTTGGAGGCTGAGGGTAAGGGGTATGCACCACCGTGGTGGCTGTGGTGGTGGTCACGACCGCTGCAAAGAGAATGCCAGTCAGGACCCTCCATCTCCCCAGCTTGTGAGGGCCAGGCTTGCCACCCCTCCCTCCGGCTTAGCCAAAGCAGGGCCCTGGTGCTGCTCTTGCCCACCCCGGGTCTGCACCCGCACACAAGGGGAGTCACCGTAGGGCAGGGGGTTGGGTGGGCATGCTTACGACGTGGCCGGCGACACATTTTGTATAAACAGCAGCAGGAGCAGGTGAAGCAGATGATAATGGTGACAACAGAGAGCACAAAGATGGTCAGGCCGATGGCTACGGTAGCGCCGAACCTGCCAAAGAGCTGGTCATGACCCAGGGCCTCTCGCTCCTCCCCAGGACCAGCATCCACACTTCACCAGTTCCCAGGGGACACCCCTCTTGCCAGAAGAGACTCTGGACAATACAGATATGGCAACTTCCTGGTAGTGTAGTTTGAACCTGCCTCAGCCTCAGTTTGCTCATGTGTAAAATGGGGGTGTCTGTAAGTCTATGCAAAGCACCTCGCCCAGGGTCTGCCCCCTGCCCTGCCCTGCCCTCAGGAGCGTGGGAGCGCTTCTTCAAGCCTTCCCCCCACAGACATCTTGTCCCCCACCAGCCACCTGGTTCAGCAGATGGTATCAGGCACATGCCACAAGCCAGGCATTGTGTGGTTTGGGTCAAAAACTCAGCAGTGCGCAAGACAACCAACCCTGGCCTCTGGGAGCCCACAGTCCAGTGCAGGAGGCAGATGTTGAAGATAAAATGACTCCAGAAGGGTAACTGCGGGGGCGGGGGGGTGCGGGGAGAAGCTCCAGGAGGGCGGAAGCCAGTGAGGCCAGAAGAAAGCGCAGGGCAAGGCCTGCAGTGTTTCTCTGCTCTCCCAGCACAGCCCAGGCGGGGCTGCTGGTCCCCCGGAGTGACAAGGACAGTGGCCTCTCACTGCACGCTTGCTGTATGGCAAGCACTGTGCGCGGTGTTCACACACATCCCTGGCCTCCCCACCTCTGACCAGCACGACCACTTCACAGGCGAGGCAGCTGAGGGCCAGAGGTGGTGACACAGAGGGGCTGGAGGCAAAAGACTCCCCTGCCAGACCCTGGCCCTGCAGTAGAGGGCCTTGCCTGGGAAGTTCTCTAAATTTGACTTCCAAAGGCAGACAGACAGAGTCCCCCTACTGTTCTATCGTGTTCCCAGAAGCCAAGCTTTATTCTAATAAAAGGCAAACATTTGGTAACTGCACCAGACTCATTCAAAAATTGAAGGAGCTTTGTTAGCTGCAGGGCATCCGCCCCCTCAGAGGCCCAGGGAGGGTGGGGCCAGGGGCTTTCCCCTCACAGCCCAGGGACATATGTAAGAACAGGCCCTTAGCACCCCGGGCTCAAGGCTCGAAAGCACCCAGCCAAGCTCCCAAAACAGGAGCCATCAGCCCCCATGCAGTCCAGGACAAGGCCCCAAGACAGGACCATCAGATCATAGAGATAGTAGGTGTCTTCCTGCCCAACCAGAGGCAGGAAGAGAAACACAGACACACACATTCACACGCAGTCAATGACATGCCACTGTAGTGCGAGCTCTCTGTCTCTGTCTGTCTCAGTCTCTCACACACACAGTATGGTGCCCAAGCTCACCCCATGTTAGCCTCCGCCTTCACCCAGGGGCCTCCTGCACTTCCCCTGTTTCCATCATGGGCTACTCAGTTTCAAACTCCTCCCCTTTCAGAGGGGAAAAGGAAAGCAAATCTCCTCCAGATGACGTCAGCAGCAGGAAGGACAGACACAGGCCTGTAGCCATCCTCTTAAAGACACAGTATGTATGGCCCAGGCGCCACAGCTGCACTAGCAGCCAAGGAGCCAAGAGGGGAGGAGGGGAAGCCAGGCACTCTGGATGCCTTCCCAGAGCGTGCCTGCAGAGGCCTGGCCTCCCAATGCAGCCCTTCCACCTGCCGCTCAGGACAGCTCCACTGGGGCGGTCTGAGAGATGCCCCAGCCTCTGCATGTGCCCCAACCACCCCCATCCCCACCAGCCCTGTTCCAGCCATCCTGGATAGGCACCTTCATCGACCTGGGGCCAGAGCACAATGCTGGGGCCCTGGCTGACAGGCAAGCAATGAGCAAGGTCCAGCCTGAACCCTCTGCTCCTCCTCTCCCACCAGTGCACTCCCCAAGCCACTAATCTGCCTCCCCATGTTCCCTCCAGCCACCCTGCCAGGTCTCCTCATGTCACTCCTGCTCATATGCCTGCTATGGCTCCTGTACCTCTTGGGATCACAAAGGAATGTGCTTTACAACTACTTGCTAAACTCTGTGTGTGTGTGTGTGTGTGTGTGTGTGTGTGTGTGTGTATCTCTATATTCTTCCTGTATATATATTATAGCAGACAATAAAAGAAGAAAAGAAAAATCTGGAATTTGTCTCACCAGATAGTGAAACTTACAATAAAGCAAAATTTAATCTTTAATTTAAAATTTAAATAAAACAAAACTCCTCACTAAACCCACAAAGCCTAATGTGGTTTGGGACTCCCACCATATCACCCTGCTTTCAGTCCTGTCTCAGGGCCTTTGCACACACAGTTCTTCCTGCCTAGTCAGCCCTTTCCTTCCTCCTGCCCCACCCCCACCTAATCAATTCCTGCTCACCCCTTAGACCTCATCACTTCCTCAGGGATACCTTCCCTTGCTAAGCTGATGAGGTCAGGCTCCTCAGGAAATGCTATTACAGGATTAAATTCCTTTCTACCTCAGTTTGTAAATACACTCCACTGTGTGAGCATTTGATTAACTGCACCTGTGACTGCTCTGGACCACCACCGTATTTCCAGTGCCTGGCATATAGTGGGTGCTCAATAACTATCTGACGAATGAATGAATAAATTCACTCGGGGATCCTAGGAATCCTGGCAGGACAGCCAGGCATGACACTCTGAGGAAGCCAAGCAACACCGGAGGGGTGGCTGCAGAGTGCAGCGGGGGCCCATGGCCACGCCAGGCTATAGTACTCAGGGAACCACACCTCCAACAGGAAGGAATAGGGCCTCCCAAGGCTGGGGCTACCTCCTGGATTGAGGAGTCTGAAGGCCAAGTTCAGAAGGCAGACTCAGACTAGCAGGAGGGGACGGAAGGCCAGAGGAAAAACAGCCCAGGCGGGGAGTCCGGGCGGTATTGCAGGGCTTGCAGAGAATTGGGCGGCCTGCAGGAGGCAGAGGATTCCCAGTGCTCAAACTGAGCAAAGGCCGTCTCTGGTCCCAGGACACCAGCGCTCTCCCCATGACGCTGGCAGGTGCAGACAGGCTATAGCAGAGTGGGCCTGAGACGGCAGAAAGGAGGTTTTGAGGGCGGGGAGGCAGCAGTAGTCGGCCATGGCCACACCTCGCCTAATCGACCTCCCCACCTTTTCCCTGCATTGTCACAAGGGGAGTCAGGAGGTCAATAGTGGCCCGCCTGGGGGTCTGCAGCCAGAGGTACTACCATTCAGGTGCTTAAACACACCAGCCTTGTCTGACAGTCCTGTGAGCGGCCACAAGCCAGGAAGGGACCATGAAATCAGGATCCAAAAGAAACATGACAGGCCGGGCGGTGGCTCACGCCTGTAATCCTAGCACTCTGGGAGGCCAAGACAGGAGGATCACTAGAGGTCAGGAGTTCGAGACCAGCCTCAGCAAGAGCAAGACCCCATCTCTACTAAAAATAGAAAGAAATTAGCTGGGCAACTAAAAATAGGAAAAAGTAGCTGGGTGTGATGGTGCACGCCTGTAGTGCCAGCTACTAAGGAGGCTGAGGCAGGAGGATTGCTTGAGCCCAGGAGTTTGAGGTTGCTGTGAGCTAGGCTGATGCCATGGCACTCTAGCCCGGGCAACACAGTGAGACTGTATCAAAAAAAAAAAAAAAGAAAGAAAGAAACATGACAGGGATCCGAAGGAAACCAAAGGGAGAGAGCAAGCCAAGAATGGACTTGGGCCACTGACCACTCAACAGGGCAGGTTGAGAGTCACTTGCCGAAGTCTTCGGGGGCAGAAGGCCTGAGCCAACAGTGAGCCCAAAGGTGATATGATCACACTACAGGAAGCCCAGAGCCCCCACCAAGGGAGGACACCCCCTGTTCCAGGCTGTGACATCGCAAGGCCAGGCAGACGTGGGCTCATCCACCAACCCTGTGCTCTGACCTGGAGCCTCGTTCTTAGGGAAGCCAAGAAACAGCCCAGAGGGACAGCCAAGGGCAAGAGTCTGAGAAGGAGCATAAGAGGAGGGGTCAGTGGTGGGGAGTGGGGGAAGAACTGGCACAGGGCCCCTGGCCCACAGGGTCTTTCCCCTGCCTGGCTTTTCCTGAGCTCCTGGCCACGGCCCAGGAAGCAGGGGCTGGACCCCACCAAGGAGGCAACTCTTGTGGGCAACAACAGTGCCCTTGGCTGAGGAGGCAGCACACGGATGCCGGTGGAGAAGACATCTCCTTGGGCCGGGACAGGGGGCCAGAGAGTGTTCAAAGGAGAGTAGTCATTGATGACCCTGTCTCCCCACCCTCCTCCCAGCACCACTGCCCATGCCCCACACCCTTACTGTGTGATGCTGGGGCTCAGAACAAAGCAGAGGGGACAAGAGATGGGGCGCGGTGTGGGAAGGGAGCATCACTCCAGCCACCTGCTCTTCCCAGCAGGTGGGAGGCAGCAGGGGCAGCACCGGGGCAGGAGTGGCGGGAAGGGCAGGGCACACGAGGCACAGAGCAAGGGAGGCCCAGTGTTGTGCACACCATGGCCTGCGGCTCAGCTGATACACCTGCGTGCACACCTGGGGGAGGAAAGAGGTGCTCCTGAGCTGGTCCAGTCACCTCCCTCCTGCCACGTCCCTCGGGAGCCACACCTCCTCCCATGCCCCTTGGAGAACTGGTGCTGCATTGTCCCCTCTGCTCTCCCAGCTCAAGTCTCCCCCACTGCACACAAAGCCCTTCACATCCATTCCTCCTCCAACTCCTGTCTTACTCTTCATCCCTTCACAGCCAAATCTCTCCACGGAGTTGTCTACACTCACTGTACACACTTCCAACTCGCTCTTCAATTCCCTTCACAGAAGGGCTCTTGCCCAGGGCACCATGGCCTCCGGGCATGAAATCCCCACTTCACAGGGCACATCACAGAGGTCACAGTGTTCATAGACCACGCACCCACCTGGGTCCTCCCACCTCTCTGAACCCTCCCTCTCAGCTCCTCCTTCAGACATTTGCTTTGCTGACCCTCAGAGTCAGTCCTCCACACACTCATCTCACCCACCCAAGCCCCTTACCCCAAGCCCGCCCTCGTCCTACATCCATCCTACGTCCCCACTCAGGGCTGGACCTCAGCCCTGTCTCAGAGCGGAGACCAGGGCAGCCCTACCCCTCCCACTCCCTCAGGCCCCTTCTGGGTGGGCAGCTGCTGAATGCAGGTCTCCATCCTCACCTCTGGCCTCCAGATTTCTGGCCAGGAAGCCACGGCTGCCCCCTACTGGCTGCCTGCCACACCCTCCCCTCTGCTCTTTCCATCCTCCAGGGGGCAGCCAGAGTGGGTCTTCCTAAAACACCCGTCAGACCCCAGCATTGCCCAGAACCATCCATGGTGCCCACTGTCCTCAGGATGAGGCCCACCCTGGGCTGCCTCCAGGCCCACATAGGCCAGGCATCAGAATCCTGTGGGGCCATCTGCAAGCCTGGGCCTCGAGGCAGGAGGGGAGCTCTGGGATGTGGAGGGAGGTCTCAGTGTCCGACCAGCCGAGGGGCACTGAGGAGGGGTTCCCCTCCTCCACTCACAGGAGCTGTGCCATGTGCTCTGCTGCAGCCAGTGAGCCCCATGTCCGCCCAGGCCCAGGATAGGATGGGGAGGATAACAACCAACCCCACACCCAGGCCTGGAGCCTAAGGTCCCTTCCTCCAAATGGGCAACCAGGCCTGGGCAGGCCTTCTATTGAAAAGGGCTTCTAGATCCACCAGCACAGGCGACAGACAGCAAGTAGAACAGACCTGAGCCAGGAAAACACACGAATGTGAGGCAGCACACTCATTCCATCCTCATGAAGCATGTGTCACAACACCTGTCATGGCGGCAACAAGATAGGGCAGCAATTGGCCAGGGAGGCTGGAGTTTGGAAGACAGGGTTGCTTCTTGGCTCTCTAAGATGAAGGTCCTGACATAGGGACTGTGGCATCATCAGCTGCCCTAGCACCTTTGCCCCACCATCTCCCCCTCACTGTCACCATTGTCACCATTACCCCATCATGATGCACCTGTTACCATCTAGCATCACCTCATGCCATTGCCACTGCCCCATCACTATCACCCCCTGCCCCATCAGGACCCATCAGTCATCCACTGCTCCCCACCACCTAGGTCAATGTGACCCCCACCCCTGGCTCTTCAACTGTCAACCCAACCAGAGTCACGCCCATCCCCACCACCCCAGCACACCAACACACACTTCCCAACATAAGCTTCAAGGATCCTGGTGGTCCAACATGGTGGCAGCTTCTCTGCGGCTCCAGCCCAATGACTGCATCATCCCAGTCCCCACAGCCCTCGCCCCAGCCCACCTAAGCCCCCTCGTCACCTTTGCCTGGAAGACGCACCCAGCCTCAGGCTTTATTTACCCTGACATGGGGTCACCGTCCAAGCTAGAGCGAAATCTCAGCGGCGAGCCCAGCTGCTCCAGTGGCTTCATGCTGGCAGGCACACTGCAAAGAGAAACCTCCTGATTAACATATTCAAGCCCCACCTAGCACACCAGGGACAAGCAAACGCTATCTCAGGGCACACACAAAACATGAACAAAAGCTACCACCAACTGGTAGCTAATGTCCTCCTAAAGATGGACCTCACCCACAGGATCTCCTGCTGCGATGCCACACATTCTCTTGGGTGCACATGGAAGCATCTCCAGGATACACCGTGTTAGGCCACAAAACAAGTGTTAATAGATTTTTTTCTTTGGTTTTTTGTTTGGTTTTGTTTTCTTTAAAATTAATGGCCAACGTGATATCAATAGATATTAAAAGACAGATATCATACAAAGAAAATATCTTCTCCGACCACAACAGGATGAAAAGAACTTAAAAAAAGAAGTGCTAAAAAAAATCTCATACCTTGGGAAACTAATTAACATGGTCCAAAACACAAACAAAATAGAACAAAAAACCTGTGAGTTGTACTGTGTTAAATAAGAAATCATAAAGGCAATTAACAAATACTTAGGATTGAAACGATAATGAAAATACTACAGGTCAAAATTCACAAAACACATCTACAGTAGCTCTTAGAGAGAAATTTATATCTTTAGTAGCATTTATCAGGAAATAGAAAAGTTAAAAATAAAGAAGAAAGTATTAAACACAAGAACATCTTTTTTTAAGACAGGGACTCGCTGTCACTCAGGCTGGAGTGCAGTGACCCGATCATAGCTCACTGTAACCTTGAATTCCTGGGCTCAAGTGATCACCTGGCTAATTATTTTATTTTTTTTCTAGAGACAGTGTATTGGTATGTTGCCCAGGCTTGTCTCAAACTCCTGGTCTCAAGTGATCCTCCCACCTGGGCCTTTCAAACTGCTGGGATTACAGCACGCCCAGCCAAGAAGACTTTTTTTAAAGTCACAGAGCAAACCCAAAAAACAAGGAAGAAATTAATGGAGCAAAAAAGTAAAACAGAACAACAGCCTTAGAAAATAATAGAGAAGAATAACAAAACCAAAGCTAATAGAACTCTGGTAAGACTAATCAAGAAAAAGGAGAAAAAATTAAAAAAAAAATACACAATAAAAAATAGGAAATAGGCTGGGCACAGTGGCTCATGCCTGTCATCCTAGCACTCTGGGAGGCCAAGGTGGGAGGATCTGATCACTTGAGGAGTTCCAGACCAGCCTAAGCAACATAGGGAGACCACATCTCTACAAAAAAATAGAAAAATGAGCTGGGTATGTGCCTGTAGTCCCAGCTATTTGGGAGGCTGAGGCAGGAGGATCACCTGAGCCCAGTTTGAGGTTGCAGTGAGCTAGGCTGACGCCACTGCCCTCATGCCTGGCAACAGAGTGAGACCCTGTCTCCAAAAAAAAAAGCAAGCATTAGAAACAACAACTATACCCAAATAAATTTGAAAGACAACCAGTAAAGCTAAGGAAAAAATATTTTTCACAAAATCGGAATGGAAGCTTTGGAGAGCAATGTGAAGGATACCATGTGGGGGTATAGTAGGGGTGAGGCTGGGAACAAAGACCCGCGAAGATAAGCCTGGCACCTGAGGTCCTTGTTCTCCTGGGTGCATTAGCCAGTTTCAGAGGGACAGCTGAGAGGCTGAGCAGCACTTCTGGAAGCTTTAGGAGGCCAAGGTGACAGGGATTAGATCCAGAGCCCACCAGGTAGGGAGGCCCTGGTGACCCCCTTCACTTGGGCTGAGACCTGAAAAGCTGGACCTCAGGAGGAAGGGACAAACCAAGCAGACAGCCCAGCTCCGATCCCCTCACTCTGAAGACAGGCCAAGGTGATCCTGGAAGGCTAGTGCTCCTGGCAGAAGCAACAGAAGTCCTCCCTGGAAAAGAGTCCTAAACGCCAATTCTATAATCAATTTTGCAAATGCAATGTTAGGCACACAATCAAAAATTTTCAGGAACACTAGGAGACTAGAAAATACAAATCAAAAACAACACAAACAACTGAAAACAGAAATATCCACAGGGGCTTCCAATATTGACGTTATCAGATACTGACATTAAAATAACAATACATATACTGTTTAAAGATTAAACAGTGAGATTAAAGGAAAAGAAGAGTTTAAAGAAATTAATGACTGAGCAATTCAGAGACCTTGAAATATACTGGATATTTAGCTGAAGAGCTTTTTTTTTTTGAGACAGAGTCTCACTTTGTTGCCCGGGCTAGAGTGAGTGCCGTGGCGTCAGCCCAGCTCACAGCAACCTCAAACTCCTGGGCTCAAGAGATCCTCCTGCCTCAGCCTCCCGAGTAGCTGGGACTACAGGCATGTACCACCATGCCCGGCTAATTTTTTCTATATATTTTTAGCTGTCCAATTAATTTCTTTCTATTTTTGGTAGAGATGGGGTCTCGCTCTTGCTCAGGCTGGTCTCGAACTCCTGAGCTCAAACAATCCACCCGCCTCGGCCTCCCAGAGTGCTAGGATTACAGGCGTGAGCCACCACACCGGGCCTTTTTTTTTTTTTTGAGACACACTCTCCCTCTGTCACCCGAGCTAGAGCACAGTGGCACATCATAGCTCACTGCAACCTCAAACTCCTGACCTCAAGCGATCCTCCCGCCTTGGCCTCCCAGAGTGCTAGGATTACAGGCCTGAGCCACCACGTTTTTGTTTGTGTTTTTCTTTTTTAGACAGGGTCTCACTCTGTTGCCTAGGCTGTAGTGCAGTGACATCATCATAGATCACCAGAGCCTCAAACTCCTGGGCTCAGCCTCCCCAGTAGTCGGGACTACTGTACCTGGCTAATTTTTCTATTTTTTGTAGAGATAGGGTCTCACTCTTGCTGAGACTGGTCTCAAACTCCTGGCCTCAAGTGATCCGCCCACCCCACCTCGGCCTCCCAGATGCTCGGATTACAGACATGAACCACTGTGTCCCACAGCTGAAGAGATTTCTAAACACGTGCTGAAGGAGCTGCTGGGATCCTTTTGACTGCTTACAGTAAAATGCAAGAGAAAAATGAATTCCTAAGCAAAAAAAGAACCCGAACTTAAAGATGTGGAAAATTCTGAACCTATGCGTATTGCGGAGAATACTAAGAGTATAGTCCAAAAACCATCTGATGAGGACATTAGAATGGGTGTGAACCATGGTCCTAGTCATTGACCCCAGCAGAAAGGCTTCGGGTTTGAACTGAAGGCGGCAGGGATGAGATGAAAGGAAGGAAGAAAGTCTTAGATCCTACAGGACTGCGCCATGGAGCTACTTGGCTGTGAAGGTGCACTGTTCTTCAAGACAAGGAAAGGACCCCAAAGACAATTCGGACCTCATCAAGGCCACCAAGCCCACCCAGAGTGCTCAAGCCAAATGGGGGTGGGGGGCCAGGTTGCCTCTACCTCAGTTTCAAAGGCCAGGACAGCCACCCAGCAGAGCTCCACCCCAGGGGGTCCAGAGGGCAGAGCATCCAGCCAAAGAGGATTATTCTCAAGCCTTAAAGTCTAACGGAGTTTGTCTTGCTAGGTTTTGGAACTGCTTGGAACCCGTCTCTCCTACCAATTTCTCCCTTTTGGAATGGGAATGCCTATCCTATGCCTGTCCCACCACTGTATTATGGAAGCACACATCTTAATCTACTTTCACAAGTTTCTCAGCTGGAGAGAAATTTTGCCTTAGGGGCAAATGTACCTCTGGTTTCATCCACATCTTATTTAGATGACTTTGGACTTTAGACTTGAGAGCTGACGCTGGAACAAGGTAAAACTTTTGGTGCTGTTGGGATGAAACAAATGCATTTTGCTTGTGAGAAGGACATGAATTTTGGGGGGCCAGGGTCGGGATGCTATGGACTGAATAATGTTCGTGCATTCCCCACCAAAATTCATATTTTGAAGCCCTAACCCCCAATGTGGTGGTATTTGGAAGCAGGGCCTTCAGAAGGTAATTAGGTTTGGAAGAGATTGTGAGGATAGAGATCCCACGATGGTGGGATCAACGCCCTTATAAAAGGAGGAAGAGAAATTCATCTCTCTCCCTGCATGTAAGTAACAAGGGAAGGGCATGAGAGGACATAGCCAGGAAGAGGGTCCATACCAAGGTCATGCTGGCACCCTGACCCTGGACTTCCTGCCTCCAGAACTGTGAGAAATAAGTGATTGTTGTTTAAGCCACAAGGTCTATAGTATTTCGTCATGGCAGTCTGAATTGATTAAGACATACATGAAACATTGACCAAGTTTCACCAAGTAGGTTCTGGGCCATAAAATGAGTCTCAATAAACTTCAAAAGACTGAAATCGCTGGGCGCGGTGGCTCACGCCTGTAATCTTAGCACTCTGGGAGGCTGAGGTAGGAGGATCACTTGAGCTCAGAAGTTCGACACTAGCCTGAGCAAGAGTGAGACCCTGTCTCTACTAAAAATAGAAAAAAATTAGCTGGGAGTGGTGGCGCATGCCTGTACTCTCACCTACTTGGAAGGCTGAGGCAGGAGGACCAGTTAAGCCCAGGAGTTTGAGGTTGCAGTGAGCCAGGATGACACCACGGCATTCTAGCTCAGAGAAAGACTCTGCCTCAAAAAAAAAAAAAAGACGTAAATCATGAAAACAACACAATGAGATATTACTGCACAGCTACCAAAATTGCTAAAATTAAAACTTTCTAGGAATGGCAATGATCTATATCTTTTATTTTAACTGACAAATATTATATATATTTATGGTGTACAACATGATGTTTTGAAATATGTATACCTTGTGGAATGGCTAAATCAGGCTAATTAGCATATGCATTATCTCACATACATTACCTCACATACCATTTTTTGTGGTGAGAACACTTAAAATCCACTCCCTTTGCAATTTTCAAGTATACAATATATTATGATTAACTATAGTCACCATAATGATGTACAATAGATCTCTTGAATTTATTCTTCCTAACTGAAATTTTATGTCCTCTGACCAACATCTCCCCAGTCCCCCCACCCCACAGGCTCTGGCAACCACTATTTTGTTCTGTTCCTATGAGTTTGACTT